AGCGAGCCAAGCTGATGCAGAAAGGTCCTCGAGGTGGGCCTATTCGTGATGACGGAGCAAGAGGAGGTCGTGGAGGTGGGGGTCGGCGTCGCGCACGACGGTAGGATAGGAGCCTCACAAGTCACAGATGTCCATTACGCATCATTAACTGTTGGAAAGCACGACGCAAGCTGCAAGGGCGTCACGATACGCAATGTGCAGGGTGCATTACATGGGCTCTGCAAAGAACTAGCCATGTGAATGGTACTGTTGAGGGAAAGTGAACTATCCTAAGATTTGGTGACGCTGCTGCGGCAGGATAATTGCCGTGCGGTTGTCGCAAAGCCACTGGTTGGCCGGAGATATGGGGACTGCAACTATCGTTCCAAAGTGGGCGCGTGGGGTTTATGCAGGTAGTGAGTGTGTAGAGGACGGTAGAGGTAAGGGTTCTGCGGCAGTAATGTGCGGAACCCCAGGGGAAACGATTAGTTATTGATGAAATTGCTGCACAATGATGTCGACGGGCAGACGGACGCACAGAAACTGAGTTTGAAGCCTTTAAAATTAAGCACGTATCTTCGGTAACTGCCATGCCAATGCAGGTGTTAGGCTGCTTTGGAGACGGGCAGGTGTCATCCTACGTCATTGGCCCGTGAGACACAAGTTGGAACGTGTGGGCTCGGAAGGAGCGGGAGTCACGCGCGGTGGAAAAGGAAGGAAGGAAGACTTTCGTGAAGACACTCATTGTCGTGATGGAGTGAATGTGAGGAGACAAGCACCTGTCATCACCCACCACGCATCAAGCATTTATCAGATGGGAGATGGCAAGTTGCATTGTTCGAAAGGCGATTGGCACGACGATCCTGCCGATCCTCAGTCAGACGGTCCGTAACCTCCAACACCTCAGCAGCGAGAGGTGGCAAAAACGGCCGTCGTGTGCGATAAATCAATAGTTTCTTGGAGATCCTGTGCTGCAACACGCAATAAGAACACCACCTGAGCAGCCATTCTCCATCTACGCCCACAAATGTCGTCGCCGGCTTCGTAATGCGGTGTCGTACTCTGCGGGTGCTTCGCCTTGCCTTGCCTTGCCTCGCTCACTGCTCACTCATCCATCCGGCCGACCCAGCGGTGGCTTTCGGCGTCTGCTATTTTGGGCTGCTATTTACCAAAAGTTGTGCGTGTGCGTGCCACGGTTCACTACATGGGCGACGTTATTACCGCCACTATGATCCGTACTACGGGAACCGCCAAAAAAACAATAGGTAACGGTACGCCTAGAGACTAAGAGCCAATGCCTGTGCGGCAAATCTAGACACATCTACCGTCAGGGTTTCCAAGCGTTCGAGATGCGATCGGCACAAACGTTACCTCTATCCACCTCTACCAAATCTCCCCCGAGTGCCCCGGTCATGTACCGCATGCTTTTTACCAGCCGTATAAGAATCTGACCTGCCCATGCAAGGCCGCCGCCATAGCCACAATTCCCCCCATGAGACTCTCCAAATATTGATTATCCTTACGGAACCAACCTGTCGGTCTAGGCATACCTTTTCAATACAATCTTATATCTCCTCCTTCCTACCCCGTGGATCTTCATTCACATCTGTTGTCCTCGAGATCTAGACCCTTCCTACTACTTACTACCTTCTGCCGATCACCCTAGTTTCTTACCTTAGCCCCTATAAGTCTGCACCCCTAGACTTACTTGCTCGAAACGGCATTATATCTATTACTCTTCCTCTTTGCGCCTCCACCTTGACCATTTACCGTCAAACTTTTTCGATCCTAAATCAAGGCTGCCAATCTGGACAACCATCCCCTCGTCCATCATGACTTCCAAATTTCAAGAGATTCTGGAGCCCAGCGAGGCACCCGTCTACACTCATCCCCACCTCAACGTGTCTCTTGAAGATATCTTGAAGGAAGGCCGGGAACGCTCTTCTTCTCAATCATCATCCGCTTCTTCCGATCCCCGATCCAGCACTGAGATCCCAAAGTCTCCAACCGCAACAGACGAGAAGAAATCGAATCTATTCAACCGTCGATTCGCTCTCGGGAGCAGAAAGGGCCGTTAATCGATACAAGGAGATGAGACACTGCCTTTCACTTTACGACATATTCACACCAACCAACATGCCTTCATCATAACCAAGCGCTGGGATGACTGTGCATTTCCGGACGAACTATTCAGTCGTCCGTCACATCCTCACACCACCCCAATATGTTTCTTCATCGACCCCCCACAAAGCTGGAGCGTGTCACTTCATATTGCCGTTTCGTGCAAAAATCGGATACATTTCCGACGCCGAGGCTTTCCAATCCCACCAAAAGTCACTTCAACAAAGCATCATTTTATCCACCGAAGAGGACAGAGGGAGTTATGGAGTAAAAGTTGGTATTTGCGTTTACGAAGTTACGAGACCACGAGCAATGGAGTGATGGTAGCGAAAAACGCGCGTAGATAAATACCAATCATGAAAAACCTTGTTACATCCTCATATTTCTGACCAGTACCAATGTGTACCTCGAAGCCCGACTTAACCAGATCGCAGCTTGTTGTGCTCATGCCAGGGCCCTCGATCGTTCTTTCCCCACAGGTTAACCTCCTCACGACCTTCTTGCTTCACAGAGCAAGAAATCCTACTAATATTCCAACAAACACACCATTACAACACAACCTCAACCTCTAAAGCCTGTGTCACCTTAAAAAAAAGAAACTGTCCTACACCATCATTATTATGTCGACCATCACCACGCCTGTAGCCCCCCTAATCGCCTGCTCCGAATTCTACCTCTCCAACATCCCGCAAATCTCCATCTCCCCGGGCGCCCCAGCCCTCAACATGATCTCGCCGACCACGACCTTCAAGCTAAAAACAATCGGCACCTCGCGCGTCAATGACATGCGCGCCGCGGGCATCTCCATGCAAATCCTCTCGCACGTTCCCATCAGCGCCACCCCGCAGACATGTGCCAGACTAAACGACGCCTTGAACGCGGCGATATTCACGAGTCCGGACCGATTTGCGGCGCTGGCGTTGCTGTCGGTGGATGATCCGCGGGAGGCGGCGAGAGAGCTGCAGAGATGCGTTACCAGGTTTCGTTTTGTGGGTGGTGTGCTGGGGCTTGTGAAGGGGCTTGATGGCGGTGCGTTTGAAGAGTTGTGGACCCAGGCTGAGCGACATGGAGTCCCGATTGTGTTGAGGGAAGTTTGGCCTACCAAGGAACAGGTTGGTTTCGAGTTGATGCCTTGCTTGTGAAGCATGAGATGGTCGTGCTGAGTGTGTAGGCGCAAGACTACACCACTGCCTCCCTAGCCCCCGCGCTCCAGGGTCCAATATTAACAAGCCTTTACGCCGCTTACACGTCCTCGCCACTCCCTATTGTCCACTTGTACGCCTCTGGCGTGTTCGATCGGCATCCGAATCTCCGAATCGTGCTTGCCCGCACCGGCATCACCTTGCTATCGCTTGTACCCCGCATCCAATCTCTCTTCGCCTCTTTCAACAATACGCAAAGCCTGGCTCACGTATTCAAGCCGAACCGCAGCTTCCTAGACGTCTGGCAGCACAATTTTTACATTGTTGCTGAGGATGCGATGGACAATATCAGCATGAGGGCGTTGCTCGAGCATATGCCGGTTGATAGGGTGCTCTATGGAACTGGGTATCCGTTTGAAGACAAAGGGCGAGCGGTCATGACGGAGATGAGAGATAGTGGGGTTTTGGGCAAGGAGGAATGGCAAAAGGTGGCGTGGGGGAATGCGGAGCGCTTGTTTAGATTGAAAGGGGGACGTGGGGACAGGAGGGTGGTGAACCGATCGTCCATGTATTGACTAACCGGCTAAAGTCTGCAGATGGTCATACGTGAGGCTCCTGTACATATAGAGTGAGCAAGCAATCGACAATCCTCCATACGCATGTTTTCATGTGTGTTATGCATATAATTTCCATTCAGATATCCGGCTATACATAGCGCACCAACGCCTACTTTGCCAAATCATGAGTCTGAAGCCCATTGGTATCCCGCATAATCATCGCTGGTTCCCACGCGTGCATGCATGTTAACACCATCCCTTGAACACCTTGAGGTCGTTGCCTTGCTCATTTCTTCTTGCCAGACTTCTTGATGCCCTGGGTACCCGTGTTCAGAGGACCCTTGCCACCGGCCTTTGCTGCTAGGGCATCGCGGGCCTTCTTGTCTGTTTGATAGTCAGCTCCCACCCACAACATAATATAAACACGAAGAGCCAGCACGTCGGAGGGACTGTTCTGGGTGAGGGATGTCGCGAAGAGGAGCCACGACTGTATCATCGTTTGTATGTGTATGGAGACGTTGTTACGCACCGGCTTGCTGCTTGGCCTTGAACGCGAGGTCATCTTCATCGAGCTCCTGCTTAGCCTTCTTGGCCTTTTTGTTGTGGATCGGGTTCGTGCCGGCTGTAAAATACACACAAAATATCTTCGTCAGCAACAGTATTCTCATCATATGTTCATATCCAGATTCCCATCTTCCTTTCTCGCCTCGTTCATTGTCCGTCTCTTGGTGGAGAAAATCGCTGGAAGGCGAGGATGGGAGACGGTGGGAACGAGAAAACGGGGAAACGCACCTCCTTGTCCTGAAGGCATGTTTGCGGTCGGTTCTTGGGCGGATTCGGGTTGTGAGTTGGTGAGAGAGAAAGTGTCGGAAGTGCGAGAGGGACTTTTGTTGTCAGCGGCGGACGGGCGGTCTAGAAGTAGGGTGTCAGGAAAGGGAAGGTGGGGCGAGGTAGGGTTTGTGGCGCAGGTGAGAGATGTGGCTGTGAAGGAATGGGGAGACGGGTGATATCTCCCCACTTAACGGTCCACACGTTGTACAGGCAGAATTGAGGAATAGTCTGTGAGTCAGCTAGTGGTTAGTTAACAGGATCCACTTTGTCTCGCGATCAAAAATCTGGTCGTAGACCAGCTGAATAGGTACTTTACCATTTTCATGCAGTATATGAATTAAAGCAGCTTTGAAATTTCCATAATTCAATAGGCAAGATGGCCGAGTGGTCTAAGGCGCTGTGTTTAGGCTTGATTCCTTGTGGATCTAGACAAAACCGCAGTCTTCACGGGCGTGGGTTCGAATCCCACTCTTGTCAAGCGCAATTATTTCTTTTTTGCTTTTTTTCCCGCATGGGCCGGGGTAGGTATCAGAAGTGCTGCTTCCTTTTTTGAAGGAATGCGGTGTGATTCGCTAGTTGCTTCCTCCCCACTTCAAGAGAGGTTCCTTCCACTGCAAGCAACAAACGTAGAAGCTCCCGCCTGCCTCTCTTCTCTTTCGAGATAACACGACGTTATGGCAGACCCCGACGATGACCTTTTGCTATGCGTAAGTATATATTCTTTTCGCAACTATCTCTGTACAGTGAGTGCTGAGACTAACACGAAGCTAGCTCCAGTCATCACTCCGCAATGCACTCGCTACTTTTGGGCCAGACAGTGTCCAGTACCGCAACATCAAGAGCTTAGTGGACGAGCAAGCTGTGAAAATTGCGCTGAGAGACATGAACTTGGGACCAACGACGACCAATGATTCCACCAGGGGACCGAGAGATGTGGTAATGGATGGATGAGTTATCTGATTTACAGGCAGAAAAACGTAAGTGGTGTATATCATTCGTAACGGAGTGCATAGCTGACATCTTCTAATTTACAAGGCCGTGTTTATACTCTCAAATACTGTTTTCTTCCAAACGAGACCAACGTTAACAGCGGAATGTTTTTCTATTGCTTCAATGAGGAAAATGTTGGTTGGTGTACATGTTTGGATCACGGGCCCGCAAATCATTTGAAGCTAACCCCACGGTCACACAATCCATAGACTATTCCATACTTTTCCATTGTGTTTCCAAGAAGAGCTTCGAACGAGATATTTCCTGCGGGGTGATTTGATGAATTCTTGAGTATGGTGGGGACGATGCCATTACATAAGCAGTGAACGTACCTAGATGGGCTAAAGCTCCCCCGCTCATCCCCAACCTCAACATCGACAGCACAAACCCTGTACCAAAGTGGAATGCTTAAGCCTCTCAACCCCCGCATTAACCCAGCCATTTTCAGTCGCTTCCCACGTAGCTTTGTCCCGCTATTCGCACGTCGACCGTTCACAATGACGCAGAAGCTCCAAGAACCGGTCATCACCAAGACAACGGATCTCTCGACCGCCGATGCGAAATGGGTAACTTTGAAAAAGATTGAGTACATCGACCAGGTGGGCACTGCACGGACATGGGAGGTGGCTACGCGCAAGACTAGAGGCAAAGCGGGAGTGGACGCCGTTGCAATGGGAAACATTCTCCTTCATCCTTCAAAGCCCCCATCAACCATGATTGTCATTCAATACCGGCCACCACTGGACTCTTATACGGTGGAGTGGCCCGCAGGTCTCATTGATGCTGAGGAGACGGCTGAGCAGGCGGCGGTTCGTGAATTCAAGGAGGAAACTGGCTACGACTGCCGCGTCCTGAGCGTTAGCCCTGTCCAGGCCGCCGACCCAGGAATGACAAACGCCAACATGCAGCTTGTCATGGTAGAAGCCGAGTTGGGAGAGAGCGATAAACTCCCGGAGCAGCGTCTCGATGATGGAGAGCGCATCGAGAGAGTCGTGATTCCTCTGAGCGAGTTCTACGACCGCTTGGTAGAATACACCAAGAAACCCCGCTTCATTGTCGCAGCGAAGCTCTTCCATTTCGCTGCCGGCATGCAGTTTGCGCAGACGCAAAAATATTTCTAGATTCTGCGCTGGCCTATCTTCTTCAAAAGGCCGTCAGGCAGACTCGGAGCGCTTGTCCGCGGCGTCTACTCGAATACACTCGTGTGTAGCAGTGTATGCAAGGTTCCAGGGCTCAACGAGCTCTTCCGGCTTGGATAGCCACAGAGCGTGCCTTCAAGTCAAGTTTACGTAGGATGAACAGTAAGCAAGATTCCATGGCTCGATGGAGTGCTTAACCATTCACATCTGGCAGGAAACAAGGAAGTCGATACATGCATATTTAACCCAGCACAGCAATTCCGTAGAAACAATCGAAAAATCCCCCGCCTCATAACATTCCTAGGTCAATGATTTGCTCGTTAGATTGGTGATTTACATGTACACATTCGAGGAATATACCACGTACGCTCGACATATTTTATTGAATCATAGAAGACTACAATAACAGGCAATTCGAGCACTGCGCTGGAGGTAGAGTTAGATGGCAGGATGGTGGTCGTCATCACTGTTCGCGCATTCAAATCCGTAGATGATAATATTCAATTGACCCAAAGGAATTGGAAACTGGCTGTCTATGTACGGTGCAAATGAGCACTTTTTGTAGAATGCGTGAAGGGGGAACCAACACTTTTCGCTATCCACAAGCTCTCGAAAGGCGAAAAGGAAAAATGTAAAAATGCCGAGGCAATCATCTCTAAAGTGGAAGCTTCTTATCCCATGCCTCAATTCATGACTCTCGTTAGGCATCTCTCTAGTCGTATCTCATCCAAGCAGTCCGCAGACTGTCCCTAACGCCTACTCATGCTGGTATCATATCCATCCCGCGCCCAATTAGATGCATTAGACATCTATAACAAGTATACTCAAACATGAAAAATCCCTGCAATTCTTTTTGCAATCAAAGCCCATATATGCGAGTGTGCAAGGGATTATATGCTCGGGCCCTACCTTTTTCTCCTAGACATCTTGCCCGCAACTCCGTCTCCCTCCCTTTTGTTAAATTCATCAATTTCGCGCTTAACGGCCTCGCGGTAGGATTTGTGGGCTTCGCCTCCTTCGACGAGTAGCTCGGGACAGTGTCCTGAGCGACGAAGATGACGCTTTAGGTTTTCCCAACGGCAGTCGGGTTTGAAGGTGCAGCCTACATGCAGACAGCGGTAAGGACGGAGTGTCTAGAATGTAGGTTAGCAATTGGTTTATTCGTGAGCAACATCTTGACTATCAGAATATCAAAGCGAAGTTCTAAGATTTCCTTGACATGTGTCGTAAGGTAGAACCAAAAATCGCGAAATCTTGACATACCTGATGTGTGCGTTCATGCTTGCTTAAATTGGAGCTGTCGGCACAGGAGAAATCGCAGAAGCGACACTTATGTGGCTTTTTCCCTTCGTGCAGGGCAGAGATATGTGTCTGCAATTGTGTGTATGTAGTCGTAGTGTACCCACACTGTTTACACTCATACGGGCGATCCCCTGTATGAGTGCGTTCGTGATTCGCTTTGGCCTGATTGGTGGCAAACATCTTATCACACCCATTAAAACTGCACGCATACGGGCGGTGCCCCGCATGACCCAGAAGATGACGAGATAACTTGGAACGTTGTTTAAAGTCCTTCGTTGCAGACTCACAGTCTTCCCATTGGCAGAAGCAGTGGTTGCAGTTGTCGACATGGGCCGTTTTGATGTGTTTGTGCAACGTTTCGGCACTGTCAAACACGGCGAGGCACAAGACGCCTGGACTATGTTGCCATTTGCAAACGTTTTCGTGCTGATCTTCGGTACTTGTCCTGATTGCATTTGTACTGTAGGAATTTTGTATAGCTATCGAGTTTTCTGGTTGCAATACATTATTTTGAATGGCGGAAGCAAGAATGTCGAGCTTCGCGGTGGATTCCAACGTTGGGGTTTGAATAGGATTGGTATACGGAGAGTTCGGGTACATCCATGCAGTATCCAAGCCTGACGTTGGATTTTGAAAGTTTTTGTCGACGCCCATGGGATTCGATGTGGAAGGAGAGAAGGATTGTGTTTGCAGAGGGAAGCCATATGCAAGACCAAAATCCGTAAAGTTATTCGCCAAATCGTTCACAGGTGCCAATGATTTCTGAAATAGATCTAGGTACTCTGATGGAGCCGTAGGATCTTCTCCACAAGCTCTTGTTTCTCCATGGCAGCATGAGTTATCGATATGACAATGCTCAGCGGGGATGTTGAGAAAGCATGCCCCATTGGTATAGGGCTGGTTGGGTGCTGGCGACGGCTGTGCGCTGAAGACGGAGTCCAGGGGAGTGTGGCACGAAAGGGGCGGAGTGGCAGCATTCGACGTGTGGGCCGTGCTGTAATCATTGTCCATTGCATTGTGTGAAGGGAGATAGCACGGGTAAGTTTCAAATGGCAACAGGCCAGTGTTTAATCCGTTGCCTTCGTGCGGAAGAGAACATGAAGCGCTATCGTAGCAGTATATTGCATTTGCAGCAGATGTTGGAAGACCAGGTTGAGTGACATGACACTCTTCGCTGGGATTTCCGAGAGGACACGGTTGGACGTCGCAACTCTGACAGAAGCACGGATCGTTGTTGCCGGACTGCTTGGTGCACTCTGGGTCAACACACAGGTCTGCGCAAGGTTGTTGATCGCAGTGCCCTTTCTGGACACAGTACTGTTGATCGCATTGTGCTTCCTCGCATTGATTATCGCAATGCGGATCCCAACAGGCATCTTGCTCGCACTCCGCCTCTGAGCATGCTACCAAGCAAGGTGAGTTACATGGTGAATTGCATGGTGTTTCCCAACTGCAGTCCTGGCAAAACTTCTCGAAACATATGTCTGGAAACTGTTCTTCGGGCTCACAGCTTCCTCCAACCGGTTCATCGCCGCTGGTGTGGAAAGCACCTACATCAATCGCTGAAGCAATTCGTTTCGAGGGGCGCACATCAGTAAGGGAGTTGAAACAGCCGGCATTCTCACAAGCACGGCAATCTCTAGCCGACGTCGAGCTCTGGGCCGTAGTCTTTGGATCGTGAACATCTGCACTCCGTTTCGTCCCCACAAGACTCGGGGGCGAGGGGAGCATGAAGGAAGACCAGAGGAGGTCGTCGTCCTCGTAAGCTGAGTCGTGATCGAAGTCTAACTGAACATCAGCCATGGTGCGGAGTAGCGAGGGCGCTCAGTGCGTTTGGTGAAAGGAAAATGAGATCATGCAGATGGTTGGACTCCGAGATCTGGCCGAGGCAGAGATAGTGAGGCTGTGGGGGACCTTATCCATCATGGTACTCACTGGAGGTCACATGATCAGGATGAAGTAAGGGGGCAGGTACGTACCTACCTTCAAACCCCTCTTCTACTCAGCGATAGAGATTGTACCCCCAAATCAAGCTGAAGATCTCTG